CGCCCTCGTCGTCGTCGTCGTCGTCGTCGTCGTCGTCGTCGTCGTCGTCGTCGTCCGATCCGCGAGACGCGGAGACGTTCGAGGCGCCTATGCTTCAGAACGTCCGCCAGAAAGTCAAGGGGTTCACGACGACGATGGCGGTCTCGAAGCTCCCGACGGAGGACGACGCCGCGGACGGGCGCAAGCCCGAGGAGGGTGACCTCGTCTCCATCGTCTTCTCCGCGCAGACCGAGGACGGGGAGCTCTTGCAGTCGATGGAGGACATGGAAGATCCGATCACGTTCGAGATCGGCGCGTCGGGCGCGATGGGAAATCCGCTGTTTCTCGCGTTCGATAAGGCTGTCCGAGGGATGGTCGTCGGCGACCAGGCGCTCGTGAGCGCGTCCGGGGGCGAGTACGACCCGAATTTACTGTTTAAGGTGCCGACGAGTCACCCGGAGGTGGCGCGACTGCGTGAGGAGCTGGACCAGCCGGGGAAGGGAGGGCTGCATCCGGGCGCGACGGTGCGCGAGCTGTGCCGACCGACTCCCTCCCTCCCGCGCGTCTGATGCGCCTCGCGACCGCGCGTTCTTCCACGTCACCGAATACTGTGTACACGTCATCGAATGCTAACCAATCGTTGTCCTCCACCTCGCGTCCGACGCTCCAGGTGGCGCTGTCCAACGGAAACGCCGCGGTGATTCGCGAGCTGGACGAGGAGAGAGGGTTCGTCGTCTTGGACGCGAACCATCCGTTCGCGGGGTCGGACTTGCAGTTCGCGGTGAAGCTGATGGGGATCGAGGACAACCCGGACACCGGGTCGGGGCCCGGCGCGGGCCCCGGGGTCGCGGAGGCGTAGGCTGTGTTGCACGTTTACAGTATTATCTGATCCCACGCACGCTCCTACAGGTATCTCTCGAAAACTCCGACACGAAGAAAAGAACTACTGAAGGATCACCTTCGCTCGCTCGACGTCGTCACACGCCGCGGCGCGCTCGCGTCACCATGCGCGCGGCGGGGCTGAGCGTCGCGCTCTTCGCGTCGCTCGTTCGTCACCGCGCGCATCACGGCGTCGCGCGGCGCGTCGCGCAGCGCGCGCGGAGGGAAGGAGGAGGAGGAGGGATCCGATGCGCGACGACGGGCGAAAACGTCGCGGCCGCGTCGACGTCCGCGACCGCGTCGTCGTCGTCGTCATCGTCGCCGCCGCCGCCGCTGCGGACGTACTACGCGGACTGGGCGGAAGTCATCCTCCCGGACAACCACCGGTTCCCGATGGAGAAGTACAAGGCGACGCGGCTGCTGCTGGAAGCGGACGCGAGCCTCGCGGGGAAGCTGGAGCTGTTGCCGTCCCCGGCGCGTGATCGCTTCGCGTCGTCGTCGTCGTCGTCGTCGTCGTCGTCGTCGTCGTCGTCGTCGTCGTCTCTCCACGGCGCCGAGCCGACCGCCCGCGACGACCCTGACCCCCGCCCCCCCCCACGCGACCCCGCGCCCCGCGCGACGACCGACAGAAAGTCGACCTGGCCGACGTCCTCGCCGTCCACGAATCTGGCTACGTCGATCGCGTGCTGCGTTGCGAGCTCACCGAGAAGGAGACGCGCGCGATCGGCTTCCCGATGCATCCGTCGAGCGTCACGCGCTCGCTCGCGTCCACGGGCGGCACCGTCGCGGCGACGCGCGACGTGTTGGCGCCGAACACGGCGCACCGATGCGCGGCGCAGATCGCGGGGGGCACGCACCACGCGTTCGCGGACGCCGGGGAGGGGTTTTGCGTCTTCAACGACATCGCCGTCGCGGCGACGATGGCGCTGAGAGAGTACGACCACCTGCTCAGCGCGAGATCGAAGACGCCGATACTGATCGTGGACCTGGACGTGCACCAAGGGAACGGCACGGCGAAGATCTTCGAGGACGACCCGCGCGTCGTGACCTTCAGCGCGCACGGCGAGAAGAACTACCCTTGGAAGACGAAGATGAGATCCACGCACGACGTGGAGCTCCCCGACGACGCGTCCGACGACCAGTGCGTGAAAGTCTTCGAGGAGTGGATACCGTTTCTGTTCGAGACGTACGACCCGCAGCTCGTGTTCTTTCAGGTGCGTTCGTTCTCTTCACACTGGTCCCCGCACGACGACCCCGTTCGCGCGGTGCACGCCGATCCTTAAGGACTTTCATTTCCCGGCGTGCGTTTGCGTTTGCGTTTCTCTCGCCCGCCCGCCCCTCGCGTTATATATATCCCGACGCGCCGCGACGCCTCACGACTCCGCCCCGACGTTCGCTCGCGCGTACCCTCGACCCTCAGGCTGGCGTGGACGCGCTGAGGGACGACGCGTTCGGGCGGCTGGGGATGTCGCGAGAGGGGCTCCTGCGACGAAACCATCTCGTCTACGACGCGTGCTTGAGAAGAGGAAAAGCGCGCGGAGGAGGAGAGGAAAAGCGAACAGGAGAGAGAAGCGCGCACGTGCCGCTGGTGGTGACGATGGGGGGGGGGTACTCGCGCCCGCCGGACGCGAGCGTGCGCGCGCACGCGGATGTGTTCCGGTCCGCGGCGTACCGATACGCGGTCGGCGCGGTGCGGTAGCGGCGACGCGCGGAGTGGAGTACACGCGGCGAGCGGAGCGGCGCGGCGCGGCGCCGTCGTGAACGATGAATGGAATTGCATTATTAATTCAAGCGCGAGCGTTACAGGTACGAGTACAAAGAAGCACTTCCGGAAGTACAGTACTTCCCGGCCGTGAGAGAACCGGTCTCTCGAACCGGTCTCTCGAACCGGTCTCTCGTCACCGCGCCATCGCGACGACCGGCTCAAGAGGGGTCTTCACCGCCTCGCCCGCGACCTCGACGCCCCCCCTGATCGTCGACCCGTTCGCCGCGTTCGCCGCGACGCCGCCCCCGCCGCCTTCGACCGTCGTCGACCGACCGCTCGCGCCCGCGCCCCGTTGCTCCGGCGACAGTAACCCCTCTTCCATCCTCGCCACGAGCTTTGCCCACAGCGCGTCCGCGACGCTCTGCGCGGTCGCGCTCAACACCGCGCTCTCCTCCGGCGTGAGATCTCGCACCGCGGCGGAGAGCTCCTCGAACCCGTCGTTCGCGCCGCTAGCCGCGTTTGCCACGTCAGCGTCCGCGTCTGCGGCGTTCGCGGCGGGAAGCAGTCGCTCCCGGACGCTCTTCGCCAACGCGGCGAGTTGCGGCGAATCCCCGACGGGCGTGCGTCCGGTCGCCAACACCCCGAGAAGAAGCGACGCGACCGCCTCTGGCTCCAGCAGCGCGTCCCCCGAGAGGACGACCGCGGCGTCGTCGCCGAGGCTCCCGCGCGCGAGGTCCGTCAGCGAGATCGCGAAGAGCTCCTCCTCTCGCGTGAGCCTCGGCGCGATCGCGTCGAGGACTTCGTTCGGGCTAGCGAGCGCCGGCGTCGGCGGCAGCCCCGACGCGGCGCTCCTCGGAACCAAAATCGGCCCGGGGAGGTCCTCAGGTTTCGGCAGCTTCCCGACGAACGGCAGGTCGAACGGCAGCGACGGCGGCTGCGGCAACGCGGCGATGATCCGCCCCCCGGACTTTCGCGCACCCTGCCGCAACAAGACGTCCGCGGCGCCGATCGCCTCGCGCTCCAACACCTTCCGCAGCGACTCCGCGCGTTCGGAGAGGAGGTATCGCACCCCCGTCTCGAGCGAGATGGAGTCCTCCGGGATCGTGTCGAGGTCCACGAACGCGCCCTCGCTCTGGTCTCTCGCGACGACGCCCATCGCGCTGTTGAGCATCACGGCGAGGCGCTGTCCTTGGAGGATGTTCCCGCCGCCGACGGTGGAGGCGTAGAGCACCTCCTGGAGCGCGCGCTGCGCGGCGGGTCGATCTTCGCGGAGGAGCTTTCGCGCGACGAAAGGGTAGGCTTCCATGACGAGCCTGTAGTCCGGGTTCCCGATGAGCGCGATGCCTTCTAGGGTGACGACGGCGCGGCCGAGGAGGGCGAAATACGGAGGGATGGAGAACGGAATGTCGTTCAACACCGTGAGGAGGTCCTGCGTCATCGCCTGGAACCCGCCCGCGGTGGACTGCAGCGAGCCGTCCATGTCGTACATCTTTTTTAACTCCGCCTCGTACTTCTTCGCGCCGCCGCCTTTCACGTACGGCGACAGCGCTTTGTCCATCAGCGGAATCACCTTGGCGCGGTCGCAGTCGTCAGGTAAGATTTTCAAGTCGATGAAGTCGTCCACGAGCGCGGGGTAATCCTTGTTCGCGAGGTGGATGATCGACGACACCATCGTGTCCATGTCGCTCTGCTCGATCGACGCCATCAAGCCAAAGTCTAAGATCACGAGCGTGTTTTTGCTCGGGTCCTCCCTCGACGCCATCTTCATCAAATTCCCCGGGTGCGGGTCGCTGTGAAAGAACCCAACCTGAAGCAGCTGCACGAGGAAACACTCTTGTCCGACGCCGATGAGCTCGCGAATCTCATCCTTCGGGCAGTCGCTCAGCTTCGTCCCGTCGATCCACTCGGACACGAGCACCCGGCGCGTGCACATCTCGTGGTAGACCTCGGGGACGTACACGCCCTGCACCTTCTCCGCCGCAATGAGGTCGCGCAGGCGCTGTTGGTTATCCGCCTCGTTGAGAAAGTCCAACTGAGGGTCGAGGCGACGGTCCATTCAAAGCGACGTCGGGGTGATGGAGTTGAAAGGCGTCAGAAGCGGAGTTGAATGGCGTCGAGGCGCGTCGGGATTGAAAGCGAGGGGTGGTGGGCGGAGAGAGACGACGGGCAAAGTCCTTAAGAAACGGCGTTCACCACGCGAACGCGGTCGTATGGGAACCAGTGTGTATAGAACGCGCCTCAGTGTAGAAGCCCACCGCCCACTCGTTGAGGAGCGCGACGTAATCCGTGCGCTGTTGCGGCGCGAAGCGTTCGATGAGGCCTTGGTACACCTCCGCGGCGCGGCGCAGCACGTACAGGTCCTTGCTCACCGTGGAGAGAATCTCCGGTCGTTGGACCTTGACGGCGACGTACGTGTCCGTGCCCGCGAGCTTAGGGCCATTCCATACAAAGCGATGTCGGGGTGGAGTTCACAGGCGTCAGAAGCGGAGTTGAAAGGCGCCGAGGACGGGGATTGTGAGCGAGGTGTGGGCGCAGAGAGACGACGGGAAAAGTCCTTAAGGATCGGCGTTCACCACGCCGACGCGGTCGTATGGGAACCAGTGTATAGAACGCACCTTGGCGCGGTACACCTGCGCGAGCGACGCGGCGGCGACGGGCGCCTCGGAGATCTCGTCGAAAAACTCCCCCAGCGCCCCCCCCAGCTCCGCCTCGATCGTCTCGATCGCGGTCGTCGTCGCGAACGGCTTGACCGCGTCCTGAAGGATCGCGAGCTCGTCCAGCGCCGCCTGCGGCAGGACGTCCGGTCGCACGGACATCATCTGTCCGGCTTTGATGTACGTGGGCCCGAGTTTTTCGATGATGACGCGCGCGTCTCTCGCGAGCGACGCTTCGTTCTTGCTGAGCTCAGCCGCGCCGCCGGTGATGGAGAGCGTCGCGACGCGCGTGAGGAACGGCACGGAGAGGGAGAGGAACTCGCCCCAGCGTCGCTGCAGCGCGCCGCCTTGCTTCGCCCAGAACGCCTGGATCGCCGCGGCGTCGTACACGAGCGGGAGGCCTTCGGCGTCCACCGCCGCGGGGCCGTCGGCGGAGGCGTCGTCGCCGGCGCCGGCGCCTCTGCCCTTGCTGACGTACGACTTCTCGACCGTCGGCGCGTCGACGCCGCGCATGCGGACGGCTTTGGAGACTTCGACGACCGCGATCGCGGCGTTGCCGGCGACTTCCGCGATGCCGCCTCCGCCCATCCGCGCGCGCGTCGTCGTGGAGACGACGCGACGAGATTTCGATGTCGTCCTCTTCTTCGCGCGGACCGTCGCGCGCACGACGCCGGCGGCGGCGCGTCGACGCGCGGACGACGGCGGCAGCGCGGCGTCGCGCCGCGGCGCGAGCCCGGCGACGGCGCGCGTCATCGGCATCGTCATCGTTCTCGGTGGTGTCGTCGCGGTACCGGCGCGGCGACCAATGAGTGAAGACGGCGCGCGGAACGACGCGACCACGAGAGCGACAAGTAGTGGCTCCGGTGACGTGCCGCGTTCTCCGTTGCTCGTGATGAGGCGTCGCGCACCTCGCGCGCCGCGCGCTTTCGATCGGCGCGCGCGATCGTCCGCCTTTGAAAACGCAGGACGTGGGTCGGTCAGCGACGTTTTTCACCCCGTTGAACCTACGCCGCCCGATCAACTTCGAGCCGCCGCGGCCGACCGCGACCACGCAGGAGTTGACTTCAGACGATTGCGCTTCGGTTCCCCCCGCCCCCCCCGCGACTCCGCGCGTCATCGACCGCCGCGCGCGTCGCCGCACGACCGAACCCGCGCGCGAAACGCCCGCGGCATCGTCGCCCGCGCCCGCGCCCGTCGCGATACGCCAGCGCGCGCGAACCGTCGTCGACTCGCGTCGTCGTCGTCGCGGCAGGAGCGCGCGCGCGAGGACGGGGGAAAAAAGAAAGGCGCGAACGAGAATCGCCGAAAGCGCCCACCATGAGCGCCCTCCCGGAACCCCCCGCGGCTGAGTTCTTCAACGCCCCCGCGCGATCGCGCGAGGAGCGAATGGCGATGAACGATAAAGACGCGCTCGAGCGCTTGCGCCTCGGGAACCGCCGCGGCGGACACTACCGATACGACCCGGAGGACATGTACACGAATCCGATCGTGCCGATGAAGAAAGCCGCCGCGTTCATCAGCGAGGCGGAGCGGTTCGGCACGAACGCCGCCGCGGAGGAGTTCGAGCACCGGCAGCGGAAGATACTCGAGAAAGAGGTGCGTCGTCGTCGTCTCCGCGCGCGTTCCTCGAGGTCGATCCTATGAGCATTTAGTCTCGAGCGATCCGATCGGTCGATCGAATCGCGATTCTCGTGCCGTTTTGGGAACACAGCTGTGTCTCGCGCGGCGTTCTTTCGCTCGCTCGTCCTCTCTCCGTTCCCTCTCTCCGTTCCCTCTCTCCGTTCCCTCTCTGACCCTCCCCGCGCGAATCCCCCGCTCCGCTCTCGACCACCAGGAATTCTTCGAGCGGAAACGGATGGCGACGTACGAGAAGGAGACTGCGCGGTGGGGCAAGGTGCACCAGCAAGACGCGTACTTTGACCAACGCGCGGAGGACCTCAAGGAGGAGCCCATCTCCAACAACAACAAGTCCAAGGTGCGTTCTGCACACTGGTTCCCATACGACCGCGTTCGCGTGGTGAACGCCGATCCTTAAGGACTTTTCCCGGCGTCTCTCTCCTCCCACCCCTCGGTTTCGATCCCCGACCGCGACGCCTTTCAACTCCAACTGACGCCTTTCAACTCCACCCCGACGTTCGCTCGTATGGAACGACCCCAAGGTGGAATACGACCCGATCACGCTGCAGTACCGCGACTCGTACGGCGGCCAGATGCTTCGGTACGAGGACGAGCACGTCAAGTACAAGAGCGCGCTGCGAAGGGAGTTTTTGCAGCGGCATCTGAAGAGCTCGGTGGAGTACAACACCATCACGGGCGAGCCGCTCGTGGATCGATTCGTGATGCCGGATCGGCCGCAGCCGCCGCCCGAGCCGGCGCCGAGGGAACGCGAACAGATTGGCCCGTTCCGCGTGGACGCGCTGTACGGCGACGAGCTCGAGACGCACGAGACGATCGACGGGCCGAGGAACAAGTGGGAGCTCGAATCCGCGAAGTTTGACGGCGCGCACGTGCCGGGCGCGCACACGCGCGAGGAGTACGAGTGGCTCGGGTTGGGGCATCCGAAGAGCAACTACCTGAAGCCGCCGAGGGAAGGGAAGAACGGGTACGACGGCGAAACGTGGGGGGCGCTCGGGCCGATCGACGGGAAGAACTTGAAGTGAGGGAGGGCGTTCCTCGCGCGTCGTGTACATATGTATGTGTCCAATGAAAACGCACGATTCGTGAGCGTTTTATTCTCCTCGCGTAGACGGATGCCGACGGGCTCGTTCGGTTCCTTCCTCATTTGCAGGTTCCTCGTGCACAGCGCGACACGTACACGTCCCGTCTCTGGATAAGTGGGCACTTCTTCGAAACGACACTTCCGTCGACGCGCGCGCCCCCCCCGCACGCCGCCCGCCGCTCTCCCAGCGATCGCTTCTTCGCGCTCGCTCTCCGCTCCCACTCGCGCGCTCTCGATGCGCGGCGTCGCGACCCGAGCAGTCCCCGTCGCTTCGTTCGCGACCTCTCTTCATCAAAGTCGCCGATCGATCGTCGCGCGATCTGCCGTCCGCCGGGCGCCTCGCTCTTCGCCGCCGTCGTCGTCGTCGTCGTCGTCGTCGTCGTCGTCGTCCATCTCGCGAAGAAAATCGATCATGGCGCCCGCGCCGAAGACATCCTCCGAGCCTCAGGCCTCCGCCTCCGACGACGTCGTCTGCCGCTCCGTCGCGGACGCGGAGGCGAAGCGCGCGCCGCTCATCACGCTCGAGGGCGGACGTACCATCGCCTACGTCCGGTGCGAGTGCAGCAAGTGCCAAGGCCTCGTGATGTGCGGGGACAAGCAGCTCTTACCGACCGCGGTGACGCCGTCGCACTACGACCTCGCGCTAACGCCCAACCTCGAGACGTTTCAGTACGACGGCGTCGTGACCGTGAAGCTGACGGTGCGCGAGCCGTGCGCGGCCGTCACGTTCCACGCGAAGGACCTGAAGATCTCGTCGGGCGTCGTCGTCGACGCGAGCGGCGCGGAGCGCACCAACCCGGGCGGCCCGGACATCTTATACGGCGACGAGAAGCAAGAGACCGCGACGGTCGCGCTCTCGAAGCCTCTGCTCGCGTCGGACGTCGGGTCCGAGATCACGCTGACGCTCGCGTTCTCGGGCGAGCTCAACGATAAGGCGTGTTCTATACACTGGTTCCCATACGACCGCGTTGGCGTGGTGAACGCCGATCCTTAAGGACTTTTGCCGGCGCATCTCTCCGCCCACCCCTCGCTTTCAATCATCGACCTCGACGCCTTTCAACTCCAACTGACGCCTATGAACTCCACCCCGACATCGCTTTGTATGGAACGACCCTAAGCTCGCCGGGTTTTACCGCAGCGCGTATCCGGCGCCGGACGGGAGCGGCGAGACGCGGCATCTCGCGGTGACGCAGTTCGAGCCCACGGACGCGCGACGGTGCTTCCCGTGTTGGGACGAGCCGTCGCTGAAGGCGACGTTCGGGATGACGCTCACGGTCGCGGACGATCGCGTCGCGTTGTCGAACATGCCGGAGAAAAGCGTGACGAGGGACGCGGAGGCTAAGGTGCGTTCTATACAAAAGTGTTTCACCCATCGCCCGGTTTCAACATTTGATCGCGTCCCTTTTCAACTGACCGATGAACTTGTTTTGTATGGAATGGCCCTAAGACGAAGACCGTGACGTTCGAGACGACGCCGGTGATGTCTACGTACCTCCTCGCGTTCTGCGTCGGCGAATTCGACCACATCGAGGCCACGACCCCGGAGGGTGTCGTCGTCCGGTGCTGGACCCCGGTCGGAAAGTCCGAGCAAGGGCGGTTCGTTCTCCTTACACTGGTCCCCATACGACCCCGTCGGCGTGGTGAACGCCATTCCTTAAGGACTTTTCCCGTCGTCTCTCACCGCCCACACCTCAGTTTCAATCCCCGCCCGCGTTGTCTTTCAACGTTCAACTCCAACTGACGCCTTTCAACTCCACCCCGACAGGTTCGCGTTGGACACCGCCGTCGGATCGCTTTCATTTTTCGGCGAATACTTTGACAACGCGTACCCGCTCCCGAAGATGGACATGGTCGCCGTGCCGGACTTCAGCGCGGGCGCGATGGAGAACTGGGGGCTCGTCGTCTACCGCGCGTCGCTGATGCTGTTCGAGGAGGGCAAGACCCCGATCAACGCGAAACAGAGGATCGGGTACGTCGTCGGCCACGAGCTCGCGCATCAGTGGTTCGGTAACCTCGTCACGATGCAGTGGTGGTCGCAGTTGTGGCTGAACGAGGGGTTCGCGACGTGGGTCGGCTGGCGCGCGATGGACCACCTCTACCCGGAGTGGAAGGTCTGGTCGCAGTTCCTGTGCAACGAGCAAGGCATGGGGCTCGGGCTGGACTCGCTCCGATCGTCGCATCCGGTGGAGGTGCCGATCGAGTCCGCGTCGCAGGTGAACGAGATCTTCGACGCCATCTCTTACAGTAAAGGCTCGTGCGTCATTCGCATGCTCGAATCGCATCTCGGGGAGGAAACGTTCCGCGCCGGGATGCGAATATACGTCGCGCGGCACCAGTACGCGAACGCGGGGACGACGGACCTGTGGGCGGCGCTGTCCGAGGCGTCGGGCGAGGACGTCAGAGGACTGATGGAGTGCTGGACGTCGCAGACGGGCTATCCCATTCTCTCCGTCGCGTCCAAAGACGACGGGTCCTCGGTCGTCGTCTCGCAGCGTCGGTACCTCGCCTCCGGGCCGGACTCGCTCACGCCGGAAGAGAGCGGCGCGACGTGGAAGGTCCCGCTCCGCGCGGAGGGGTTCGCGACCGTCCCGGGCGTTCTCGACGCCGCGACCGGCGCGTTCGACGTCGCCGCCGCCGACCGCGAGAAGCCGCTCAAGCTAAACGTCGGACAGAGCGGTTTTTACCGCGTCGTGTACGACGAAAACGCGCGCGCGAGGCTCATGCGCGCGCTGCCCGGGATGTCCGAGGTGGACCGCGTCGGCCTCGTCTCCGACGCGTTCGCGTGCGGCGCCGCGGGGTACGCGAAGACGACCGCCGCGCTCGAGCTCGCGCGCGCGTACGCGGACGCCGGGGAGGAGTCGTACGTCGTGTGGTGCGTCCTCACACTGGTCCCCATACGACCGCGTCGGCGTGGTGAACGCCGATCCTTAAGGACTTTTCCCGTCGTCTCTCTCCGCCCAGGGTCCCTCGCTTTCAATCCCCGTCCTCGACGCCTTTCAACTCCGCTTAGGACGCCTTTCAACTCCACCCCGACAGGAACGAGATCGCGAGCGGGCTCGGCGGGATAACCTCCGCGTTCTTCGAGCAGCCCGACGACGTGTGCGACGCCCTCCGCGCGTACGGCGCGTCGCTGTTCGCGCCGTTGGTGGCCAAGCTCGGATGGGTCGCCCCCGGCGGCGAGGCGACCGCGCCGGGGGGGTACCAGACGTCGATGCTGCGGCAGCTCGCGGTGTCTCGCGCGCTGGCGTACGAGCACCCGGCTTCGGTCGCGGCGGCGCGCGAGCTGTTCGACGCGTACGTCGGCGGCGACAGAGAGGCGATCCCCGCGGACATCAAGGGCGCGGTGTTCGCGTCCGCGCTGCGCCACGGCGGCGAGAGAGAGCTCGACGAGCTTAAACGGCTGTATAAGGAGGCGGAGAGCTCTCTGGAGGAGTCGCTTCTTCTCGGCGCGATGGGCGCGTCGAAGGATCCCGCGTTGATATCGCGCGTCCTCGAGTTTAACATGACGGACGCGGTGCGTAAACAAGACGGCGCGGCCATCATCGGCGCCTCCGCGGGCACGCGCGCCGGTCGCAGAGTCACGTGGGACTGGGTGCGCGCCAACTGGGACGCCGTCGACGCGAAGTTCGGCGGCGGCGGCGTGAGCAGCGGGCTGACGCGCGTCATAGGCGCGAGCTGCGGGGGTCTCGCGTCAGGCGCGTTCTATACACTGGTCCCCATACGACCCTGTTGGCGTGGTGAACGCCGATCCTTAAGGACTTTTGCCGTCGTCTCTCTCCGCCCAGGGTCCCTCGCGTTCAATCCCCGAGCTCGATGCCTTTCAACTCCAACTGACGCCTATGAACTCCACCCCGACATTCCCTCGTATGGAATGGCCCTCAGAGGAGGACGCGGCGGCGATCGAGGCGTTTTACCTCCCGAAGAAGATCGACGGCGCGGAGCGGACGGTGACGCAGGCCGCGGAGGCGGTGCGCGCGAAGAGCGCGCGGTTGGCGCGCGATGCGGACGTCGTCGGCGCGTGGGTCGTCGCCGCCGCCGCCGCCGCCGAAGAGAAGTGATGATTGAATTTGCGTTTCGTGATGACAGCTGTACAGTAACAACTGCTCAGCATCAGCAAACATGACACGCCATCTCGTCGCGACCACCGCCACTCCCCGCTTCGGCGCGGTCGTCGTCGTCGTCGACGACGACGACGTCCGTCGTCCGCGCGATGCATCTCTCCCCCCGCGTCGCCGCCGCGATCGCTCTCGCGTCCGTCCTCCTCCGCTTCGTCCTCGCCGCGCGCGGATGGGGCGAGATCCTTCACGCGCGTCCAGAGCTTTCCAGCGCGGTGGACGCCGCGACGCGCCTGCGCGAGGGCGACGCGCTGCGCCGCCTCGGGCAGTCCCCGTACGCCGGGAGCGCGCTGCACGCGCCGCCGCTGCTCCTCGCCGCGCTCGCGCCGCGCATCGCGAGCGCGCCGACGATCGGAACGCGCGCGGTGGCGCCGTTCGTCGTCTTCGACGTCCTCGCCGCGTTCGCGCTCTTCTTCGCGTCTCGACGGATCGAAGCGCGCCGGATCGTCTGGTCGCGCGCAGGCTCCGCGGGCGGGCCCGGCGCGTCCGCGGCGGCGAAGCGCGAGGCGTCGAGGCGCGTCGCGTCGACGCCGTGGACGGTCGCTGCGCTCTCGCTCGCGAACCCGCTCGCGATCGCGTCGTGCGTCGCGTGCTCGTGCGCGGGCCTTCGGACAGCCGCGCTCGCGTTTCTCATCTTCGGTGCGTTCGCATTCACACTGGCTCCCATACGACCCCGTTCGCGTGGTGGACGCCGTTCCTTAAGGACTTTATCTCCCGGCGGGCGTTTCTCTCCGCCCATCACCCCTCGCTTTCAATCCCCGACCCTATGACGCCTTTCAACTCCACCCCTGACGCCTTTCGACTCCACCCCGACGTCGTCGCTTCGCACGACGGAACGACCCTCAGGCGCCAGCTGCGGGAATCCGCACGTGGCCGGGTTCGGGCTCGCGACGAGCGCGTACCTCGGAGGGATCGCCCCGCTCGCGATGCTCTTCGCGCCGACGGCGAGCGCAATCGCGAAGGGCGGCGCGGAGGGGCACCGGCCGGGGGTGGACGGCGGGATGCGCGGGCGGGAGATCGCGCGGCGGAGCGCGGCGGAGGTCTCGGGACACTCCCCGGCGACGGCGACGGCGAAACTCTTCGCGTGGACGACGACGTGGCTCTTCGCGCTGACGTGGCTGTCCACGGATATACTTCGCGGCCACGCGTCGTTCGACGATTGGTTCAGAGCGTGCTACGTGTACTTGCTCGTCCCGGACGACCTCGCGCCGAACCTGGGCGCGCACTGGTACTTCTTCTCGGAGCTGTTCGACCACTTCGTCGGGTTTTACCGGTTCGTGTTCGCGTTCTTTCCCGCGTTTCTCGCGACGCCGTTGACGATTCGGTTCATCGACAGCCGTCCGACGTTCGCGATATTCGGCGTGACGTGTCTCGGATGCATAATGCACCCGTACCCCACGCTTGGGGACGCGGCGAGGTATCTGTCGCTCCTGCCGTTGTTTTCGGAGGAATTGGCGGCGTTCCATCCGGGCGCGGCGTTCGCCGTCGTCGCCGGCTTTTTCTACGTTATTCTGCTCTCGCCGATATTCTGGCGGCTCTGGATCGTCGACCGCGTCGCGAACGCGAACTTCTTCTACGCGGTGACGTTGACGTACTTCGCCGTGCAGAGCGGTCTGTTCATCGAGTGCGCGAGGGTCGTTCTGAGGCACGACTTTTCGACCAAGGTGGCGTTGGGTCTCGACAAGGAGAGTCTGTTGCGAGCCGCGGCGGCCGCGGAGGGGGGGTCGGACGACGACGACGACGACGACCACCACCACGACCACGCGGACTGAGCGCGCGGCGAAGAGCGGGAGCGATCGCCGAGACGAGGGCACGCGTCTATCGCGCGGTGGGTGGGTGGGTTGTTCAGGAAAGGCGACGTATTTACCATGGGAATAGGATTAGGAATACGTGTAGTCATAGCGCCAGACGACGTTCGTTCGTTCTTCCCTCGCCTCCTCCTCCTCCTCCTCCTCCTCCCACCTCGCTCACTCGAGCGTGAACGTCCCGTCCTTGTGCACCATCCTCGTGATCGGCACTCTCTCCCCGCCCGGGAATTGCTCCATCGTGGTCGTCGCCATCTCCCGAAACTTGGCGGGGTCGACTCTCAGGTACACGATGTAGCCGGCGCCCACGCCGCACTCCAGCAGCGTCTCTCGGTCCGCGAGCTTCTGCGGGTGGTTTACGTAATCGGCGGACGACGCGGCGGGAAGGTATGTGATTGGTTAGGTATGTGATGACGTGGACGTTTGATTGGACGCGAGAGCGCGACGAAGCGAAGAGGGCGCGTCATGGCGAAGGGGGGCGAAGTCCTTAAGGATCGACGTTCACCACGCGGACGGGGTCGTATGGGGATCAGTCTGGAGGCGTCGTCTCGAAACGCGCCTTGCCGCCCAACACGACGTCGAGCGCCTCCCTCGGGACGTTGTCGCGCTTCGCCATGACGCGCTTCACGTCGAACACCGTCGTCAGCGCGTTCTTGAACGTGAACTGGTAGTCGTGCTGGTGATCTCCCGGATCGCAGTCGTACGGGCGAATAGTCATCGGCGCGGGTTCGTCCGGCGCGATGGGCGGATCGCACCGCTGCTTGCGGAGGACGTTTTTCACCTTTTCGATCTCATCCTTCTCGCGCTCGGTCGGGGTTTTGTTGAACCACGCATCCATCAGACGCACGCAGCCCTGCGAAGTGGAGTTTAGGGTTTAGGGGGATCGGTCGATCGATGAGGGAGGGATGGAAGGAAGGAATGAAGGAATGAAGGAAGGAATGAAGGGTCGGAAGCGCGCGCCGCCGCGAAATTCAAATCATCTCCGAACGAAACGAAGGGACGTTTTTTGTTCGGGAGTTGGAATCGCGTCGCGCGTCGCCGCGCACCCGCAGCGTGCGCTCGTGAAACGCCTTCCTCATGCGCTCCGTCGCTTTCTCCTCGTCGTCGTCCTCCTCCTCGTCGTCGTCGTCGGAGACGTCGTCGTAACTCTCGCCGTTCTTCGCGCGCTTCGCCGTCGCGGCGACGTCGTCGTCGTTCGCATTCGAATTCGCGCTCGGTCCCAGCAGCGCGGGGTCGTTGTACAGGTCCAGGTGGTGTCGATTCTCCTCGAGCCACTTGCGCGCGGCCGCGAGCTTCTCTTCGCTGAGCTCCGGCGTCGCGACGCCGGCGCTCATGGAGACCGGCATGGTCGTCGAGTCGAGGTCGACGTGCTTCCCGCGCCGCGCGAAGTCGTCGCGGACGGAGGCGGCGAGAGACGTGACGGAGGGAAGTCGAAACGGCGGACGCGTTATCGGGGAGGCGGGAGGGCGGCGCGGCTTTGACGACTGATGAACGAGCGCGCGCGACTGGGATTATTTTCCGCATTGTTAGGTATGGCGGCGTCCGTCTCGCGCGCCGCCGCGGCCGTCCTCCTCCCGCGACGCGCGCGTCCGCGTCGCCGCGATGACGCCGTCGTCGCTCGTCGTCGCCGCCGCGCGCGCGGCGCCGTCTTCGCCGCCGCCGACGCCGACGCCGACGCCGCGTCGTCGCCCTCGTCGTCCCATCAACATCATCATCGTCGCGGCGAGGACGAGGAGGAATCCGACCCGTGGAACAAGACCCCCATCGCGATGGACGCGCGGCTCTACGCGTACCTCCTGAAGCACACGCGCGAGCCGGAGGTCCTCCGCGCGCTGCGCGTGGAGACCGCCGCGCTGCGCGGGTCGCAGATGCAGGTGCCCCCGGAGCAAGGAGCGCTGCTCTTTACGCTGTGCGCGATGCTCCGCGCGACGCACGTCGTCGAGATCGGCACGTTCACCGGATACTCGTCAGGTGCGTTCTTACACTGGTTCCCATACGACCGCGTTGGCGTGGTGAACGCCGATCCTTAAGGACTGCCCGGCGTGTCTCTCCGCCCACCGCTCGCTTTCAATCCCCGCCATCGACGCCTTTCAACTCCAACTGACGCCTTTCAACTCCACCCCGACGTCGCTTTGTATGGAACGACCCTCAGTCGCGATGGCGTTGGCGCTGCCGCACGACGGGACGCTGACGGCGTGCGACGTCTCCGAGCCGTCGTTCGAGGTGGCGCGCGCGTACTGGGAGAGAGCTGGCGTGCGGGGGAAGATCGTGGAGCGGCTCGGGGACGCGCAGGCGACGCTCGACGCGATGCTCGCGGGCGACGACGACGACGACGGCGACGACGACGGCGACGGCGCGGGGGGCGAAAAGATTAATCATCGCGGGCGATACGACTTCGCGTTCGTGGACGCGGACAAGCGCGGGTACTGGGCGTACTACGAGAAGCTTCTCGAGCTCGTGCGCCCGGGGGGCGTGATCGCGATCGATAACGTGCTGTGGTACGGCAAGGTGGCGGACCCGGAGGTGAACGATAAGCAGACGATTGCGATTCGAGAGTTTAACGAAAAAGTGGCGAGGGACGAGAGGATAAGCGCGCACGTCACCGTGCCCATCGGCGACGGCCTGACGTTGTGCGTCGTGAGGTGACGACGAGCGACGGCGGCGTAGTCGTAGTCGTCGTCGTCGCGCGCTCGTCGTCTCCGTTCTCGCGATGGAACGCCGGCGAGTCGGTCGGTGGTTGGTTTTATTTTTTTGTAAGGTTAATTCCGCTCGCTTCTACTCTGCTCGCCTCGCTCGTCGCCGAACGCGACGTCATCGATCACAAAAAGTAATCCGGCGCCGCCTTCTTCGCGGGCACCCCCCTAGACTCGCTCGGCGCCGCCTCGAACACCTTAAAGTTCTTCTCCAGGTGCTCGTCCAACTCTAGAATCGCGGCGACGTTCCCGCACCGATAGCAATAGTTTGGCGCGCTCCACACCGTCACCAACTCCTCGTCAAACATCCACTTGTACCCTTCCATGACGAGCTGGTGCGCGCGCGCGATCAAGTCCACGCCGTTCGTGCGATTGAACTGGTGGCACACGTCGCCTCCGAACAGGTACCCCGCGCCTCTCGGGCTCAACCCCCACCCGGTGACGTCTTCCGGGTCTGAGGGCCGTTCCATACAAAGCGATGGCGGGGTGGAGTTGAAAGGCGTCAGTTGGAGTTGAAAGGCGTCGAGGGCGGGGATCGAAAGCGTGGTGTGGGCGGAGAGATGCGCCGTGAAAAGTCCTTAAGGATCGGCGTTCACCACGCCGACGGGGTCGTATGGGGACCAGTGTATAGAACGCGCCTGACCACAGCAGGTCGCACATCGCGCCGTCGTGCGGCACCTCTTGCTTTCGATCGATCGTCCGGATCTGATCCACGCTCGTGATCGTGGGGGATAACCCGCCGTGGACGCACAGGATGCGATTGTCCACGAGCGCGGACAGCGACAGGTAATCGAATATGTCCGTGCAATACCGCCACACGTTTACGCTGCCGTACTTCCGAAGGCACTCGTCGTAGAACCCGTACACCTGCGTGATCTGCCTCGACTCGTGGTTCCCTCGGATGAGGTATATCCTGTCGGGATAGCGCACCTGATCGATAGGATCGGATCGCGGGGCGGGGGTAGTGGGGGAAGAGCGCGGTGAGTCGATCGGTCGGCGCGTCGTCGCACTTTGCATCGTCCGTTCGATTCGACTCGATCCATCGATCGATTCGATCGATTCGATCGATCGATCGATCGATTTTCGCATTGGGCGGCTGGGTCGTTGATTCCTTCCACGACGACGAGGCGCGAGATCTGAGACGCGAGGCGCACCTTGAGCGCCAACAACAGCAAGAACGTCTCCACGGAGTAGAACCCGCGGTCGACGAAGTCGCCCATGAACAGGTAGTTCGTCTGCGGGCAGTCCCCCCCCACTTTGAACAGCTCGACGAGGTCGTAAAATTGCCCGTGGATGTCCCCGCATATCGTCACCGGGGAGTCGATCCTCTGCACGTTGCTCTCCTCCACGAGCACCTCCATCGCCTTGCCGCACAGCCACTTCACCTCGGACTCTTTCAAGACCTCGCACCGTCGGAGCGTCTCGATCATGACGTCGAGGTCGGACGACATCGCGACGGACCCGGACCCCGCGCCGCCGCCGTCGCCGACTCTTTCTCTCGATCGATCGACGCGACGACGGCGACGCGCGGAAAGAAGGGGCGGGGCGGGGCGGGGGCGAGGTGCGCTTCGCCGCGCGCGGGGGACGACGCCCGACGCGACGCCTCGCCCGCGGCGATTCGATTCGCCGCCGCGTTTACCGGACGACGACGACGACGGAGCGGCGGGCGCGGGCGGTCGTCGTTACCGCGCGTCGCCCCGCGCGCACGTCAGTGCCGCCGGTCGAACGCGTTCGCGCCATTTATTTCCGCGGCGCGCGCTGCGCGCGGGTGGGCGGTTTTTTCAAGCCTGCGCTCGAAGTTTACGCTTTTCGTTCGTTTACACCAACCAGCCTCTCTCACAACATCAAGGGTCGCCGCGGCTTCCCGCCACGTCTCGCTCCCCCTCCCCCGTTAACCCATACCGTACCGTGCCACGCACATCTCTCGCGCGGACAGACGAACAGACCCCCGCTCTCGTTCTCCTCGCTCGAAGAAACCTCGGGCGTCTTCGTCGTCGTCCGGACGTCGTCTCGCGAAGGCAAAATTCTATTTCCCCTCCGGAAGCCAATACTCGCCCTTCAACGCGTCCAGCGTCGCCTTCTCGAAAACGACCGGCTTCTTCGCCGCATCCTTCATCTCCGCGCTCGCCGCGAACGTCTCCACGAGCGGCACCAGGTCGACCATGTCCCGGATCACGATGTCCGCGCCGCGGCCGTCGTCGCTCCTGCCGCCCGCAGTCAGCGTGCCCGCGTGCGACGTCTTGCGGTCTTCGGTGATGTGCGTCCCGCCGACGTACCCGACGATGAGGCCGACGTTCGCGTTCGCCGCGCTGCCAACGCCGGACGTGCTGCGATTGGATTGGATTGGATTGGATCGGAGTTGATTGGATGAGTTGATCGGTCAGTCGTGGCGTCGGACGCGATGGAGGATGACGCGTAAAAGTCAGCACGTAAAAGTCGTCACGCGCCTGTCCTCCACGGCGACGCAGTTCTTCGGGTCCGCGTCCTCGCTCTTCGCCGCGAGCAAGTACACGCTCGGGTCTGGCTTAAACCGCGGCGGATCGAAGTCGCTCTCGCCGCTGTGAATCTTCTCCGGGGGGAAATACTCGGTGTACCCGCATGACACGACGCTCAGGGTCGTTCCATACAAAGCGACGTCGGGGTGGAGTTGAAAGGCGTCAGATGGAGTTGAAAGGCGTCGAGGGCGGGTATTGAAAGCGAGGAGTGGGCGGAGAGAGACGCCGGGCAAAGTCCTTAAGGATCGGCGTTCACCACGCCAACGGGGTCGTATGGGGACCAGTGTATAGAACGCACCTCACGGGCACGCGCGGTTTCCCGCTCGTGGTGGAGATGCAAAACGGAATCCCCTTCGCCTTCAGCGACGCGAGCACTCCCGGGACGTTGTCGCACGGATGCGCAGCCACGGACAGCGCGTCCACGGTCTCGTCCTTCTGAAGCGTCAGGATGTCCTTTCCGAGACCGCGCGTCTCCGCGAGCGGCGGGAGGCCAAACTTCGCGCGGCCGGCGTCCACGACGGCGAGCGTCGCCGGCGCCTCTCCCGCGGACGCGCGCGCCTCCTCGATGGACGACAACCCCGCGGCTTTGCGATCCTCCTCGACGACGTCCACCATGAACTCGAACGCCTTCCCCGCGTTGTCGCGGATGTAGTCCGCGCACGTCTTGTCCGTGAGATAACTCGCGCCGTCGGGCTTCGCGGCTTCGGGGAAGTACGGCGCGAGCTCCCAGAACGCAACCTCCATCGCGGGCGTCTCCGTGTCCCCGAGCGTGCCGTCGAAGTCGAAGAGGACCGCGGTGTGATCGCTCGCGGTCATGATGATCGCGGCGCGGCGCGCGGAGGACGACGACGCGAGAGAAGGCTGAGGATGGATGGATGGAGGGAGAGAGGGATGGAGGGAGCGTCAGAGGCGAGGAGGATGGGAGGGAGGGCACGAGCGAGCTAAGACGGGCGCGACGGACCTTTAAAGCGCGCGACGCGCGGTCGACGCGGACGCCGCGACGCGCGAGCGGGGACGCGCGCGCGGGACAGAGGACGCGCGACGCGGACATGAACGGGCGACGGCGGAACTCGACGCGACGGCGTGAGCGGCGCGCGCGACGAAGTGCGATCGAGCGAGATAAGTTGTTAGGAACACGTGAGAGAGCTCATCCATCATCATCATCACGTGTCGCCTGTCGCGCGCGCTGCGGCGCGCTGCGCGAGCCGACGACCGGAAGCTCCCGTGGAAACCTAGCTAGCAGCTCGCGTCGATCTCGTCGTCAGTCGAGGGCACGCCGCTGCCGCCGCCGCCCTCGAAAGGCTTCTTCTCGCGCTTCTTCTCGTCGTCATGTCGACCAAGAAGGACGAGAAGAGCACCGACAAGAAGGTCATGGCCGCGATGGACGAGATGAAAGCGGTCGTCGCCGCCGTGAGCGAGGGATCCGTCGCCGACGTCGTCGCGGCCGCGAAAAAGTTTCGCGACGAGACGGGCGCGTCCGTCGCGTCGCTGCGCGACGCGCGCGGCCGCACGCCGTTGCACCTCGCCGCGCAGCGCGGCGACGCGGATATCCTGATCGCCCTCGTGAAGGAGTGCGCCGTCCCCGTGGACGCGGAGGACAAGGACGGGAACACGCCGCTCATGGCGGCGGCGGACTACGCCAAGCCAGACGCGGTGCGGACGCTGATCGAGCTCGGCGCGGACCGCGCGAAGGCCAAGTCCGACGGCGTCACGGCGATGCACCGCGCCGCCGCGAGCGCGTTCGCGGAGGGGGCGGTCACGAGCGCGAACTCGATCAACGCGGCGGCGTGCGTGGAGACGCTCGCGAAGGACGCGAAGGACGACCGATTCGTCGACGCGAAGTGCGCGTCCGGGAACACGCCGTTTCTCCTCGCGTGCTCTCGCGGCGCCGAGGCGAATATCGTCAGACTGAAAGCCCTCGGCGCGAACGCGTCGGCGACGAACGACGCCGGCGTCGGCGCCGCCTCGCTCGCGACCGCGTCGGGCGTCCCCGGCGCGCTCCGCGCGGCGCTCGCGGCGGGCGCGCCGACGCACCTCAGGCGCGTTCTATCTCGCACTGGTCCCCATACGACCGCGTCGGCGTGGTGAACGCCGATCCTTAAGGACTTTCTCTCCCGGCGTGTGTTTCTCTCCGTCCACTACCCCTCGCGTTCAATCCCTACACACCTTGACGCCTTTCAACTCCGCTTCTGACGCCTTTGAACTCCACCCCACCATCGCTTCTTCGTATGGAACGACCCTCAGACCCGTCGGAGGCATGACGGCGCTCCACGTCGCCGCGTCGCATCCGCACTGCGCCGATGCCTCCGACGAGCTCGTGCGCGCGCTCCTGGACGCCGGCGCGGACTCGGACGCGGTGGACGGCGAGCGGATGAAGCCGATACACGCGGCGGCGGCGGTCGGCCGCGTCGCCGTCGTCGAGACGCTGCTGGAGAGGACGACGAGGGACGACGGCGTCGCGGAGGGCGATTGGAACGCGTCGGGGGTGCAGAAGATCGTCCAGGTGCGTTCTACTATACGAACGTTTGTTTTTCACCCGTAGCTCGGTTTCAACACTTGATCGCGTGGGTCCCTTTCAACTGACCGATGGACTATTTTTGTATGGAATGGCCCTCAGGAGAAGCTCCGGGCGATGGGGATCGGTACGACGCGCGGCGGTACCGGCGGCGGTACCGGCGACGGCGACGACGCCGAGAAGAGGAAACACTGGGCGGGCGCCGAGGGGGGTCCCGACGACGAGCCGCCGTACGTCGCGAAGGGCGCTTCGGACGCCGACGCGGCGGCGGCGAAGAAGCGCGCCGGCGACGAGGCGTTCGTGAAGGGCGCCGACGCCGACGCGATCGCCGCGTACGACGCTTCTCTCGCCGCGGACGATTCCAACGCCAAGGTGTGGGCGAACCGCGCGGCGGCGAAGCTGCGGCAGGGCTCGCACGCGTCCGCGCGGAGAGACGCGAAGATCGCAAGGGAGATCGAGCCGACGTACGTCAAGGCGTGGTATCGAGAGGGGCTGGCGTTGACCGAGCTGGGCGACTTCGAGGGCGCCGCGATGGCGTTTTTCGAGGGGATGCAGATCGACGGGGACAACAAGGAGTTGAAGCGGGGGTTCGACGCCGCGATCGCGCGCGGGAGGAAGGCGCACCTCGCGGGAGGAGGAGGTAAGTGACGCTCTCGCGAGTAGAAATATACTAGCAGCGCGATGTGACACTATCACCGAAGGTGTCGGTACCTTTTAAGGCGGGCGTTTTGACGACGTCGTTGTTCCGCTACTGTGCTCTCTAGCTAGACTACCGGCGCGCGAATGGACGTCGAGCGTCAGATGATCTCCGAGACGTAATCCCAAACCTTCGCCGTCGCCGTCGCCGTCGCCGTCGCCGCGCGCTTCTTCTCCGCGTCGTCTTCCGCGGGGTGGAGTTGAAAGGCGCCAGTTTCAACTCCGCGGCGGTCAGTTTCAACTCCACCCCGACGATTCGTCTCCGCCGCAGCCGCCGCCGCCGCCGCCGCCGCGTCGTCCTCCGCCTCGCGCGCCACCTTCTCCAGGTGCATCTCGCGCAGCAGCTCGCGGTCCGAATCGCATTTTCTAACGAACGCTCCGGGCGGGTGCTCGTGGACGGATACCGATCGCGACCTCCCGCCGTCGTCGTCGGCGGCGGCGGCGTCGTCCGGTCCACGGAATCCGTCCTCCTCCTCCTCGCTCTCCTCCACGGGCACGGGCCCCGCGTCGCCTTCGCGGTGCGTCTGCGGCATCCGCTCCTTCTTTCCCGCCGCCGCCTTCTCTCTCGCTCTCTCCGTCGTCGACACGTGCGCGCCGAAGCACGTCGG